CCTACAGATTTCCCTTTAGTTTTCCTCTTACCGGCACATCTTTGCGAGTTTACTTGCCAGGAGAAAAAGCCCCACGAATTTCCACGTTTCGGAGATTCATAATGGAAAATGCTAAACTCGATCGCGATGTCTTGCCACGGGTGGCTACAATAAGGATTTACAGCGTTCTCCGCCGTTACCTTTTTACAACTCTAATTCAAATCGCAAAGTTTAAACTACTCTACAGTCTTTGCTCGACCCGCGGATAATCGTGAGGAACTTTAATAACAACGACACGATATCCTTCGTATGAACTTCGCGATGGACCCACGCGTAGATTGATCGAGAACCAAAAATTTCTGCAATTATTACCACCGATACTAACGACTATAGCGAGAAAGCACTGACAAGAATGATTTCTCATTTAGAGGATGAAAAGCCACGAATAGCAACTCTCTTGTATAGCGAATAGCCAGTCCTCTTCAACCTACAGCCTCTTTGCTCGAAAGCGCAAAGACACGAAGTAGAAATTTAAATCGCAGAAGCTCCAAGTGTATAATCGACCATCATAGCGATCACTGTTTACACGTTCGCGTGAAACCTCGATTCGCGTACAAAAACCCTCGCGACCACGACCACGACCGCGACCGCGACCACCAAATTTATGTACCATTTTCTCGGAATAAACCCACGAAAATTGGTGAGCAGTGCGCAAAACACGATGAAAGCACGTCCATATTTCAGTATTAATTAGAGATATGTATATAGAAATATTCAAAATTCAGCTGGTACGTGTGCGATTTAGAAAAGAACATTGCCGGGACAGATGGTACGGCATTCGATACCACGGTTAATATTGTATCGAAATTAATTATTAGTCTTGAAACAGGAGAATAAATAAAATCGCATAATAGATACCCGGATCGGTATATTCCTGCGAATACCTTTTGTTCTATTCGAGCGACCACAGGGACAAAAATATTTGTTACTCACCGTTAGGTGCACAGAATATTTTCATCGGTGTTGCTATGGCCTCGGAGGTCGTCGCAGCAATGGCTGTCGTCACGCATCGGTCAACGAACTCCATGGAAATATCGTTGGCTGCAAAAACTGTGAACAAAACGAGGAATCTTACAATTTCTGCTTGGAAGCATAGCGTTGAGTATCGAAAAAGATTATCGCAATAATAAATTCAACCAACAATAATTATTAGCCGCAAAGATAATATGCAAATATACTCACGTTTTTCGCTTCTGCGACACCTCGTCGGGTTCTCCCGAGGGAAACACTGGCTCTAATACCGGAAACGAATATTTAACGGAAAGTGATGCGTGTTTATAAAATAAAGTAAAATAAAAGACTATCGATCCGATCCGTACGAGTTCCTATCGGCGAACAAACACTGACTCTAATTTCTCGCACGAAACTTTCACGCAACAAACACTGATTCTACGGTCGCATTGCACGCGACCAAAGGAACTTCCTGGAAGTAAAGCTTCGTTAGTAGGAAGGGTGGTCTAGGGAAAAAACGCGAATTAATTTGTTTGCATATTTGTCTTCTTTCCCCCGTCGAGCGTTTGTTTCGAAAAATACTACCGCGTACCCCGGAACGGCTAGCGTGATTTGTTTTTCGTTAATGCAAGTACTGCCAAACATTTATGAACATTCTAACAGATTTTTGCAAGAGTTATACCGCGAATGTTCGTTATCGGAGTTTGAAATATGCTACCCGGTAACGTATCACGTCGCGTTTTATGAATATTCGAGATTGCGTGATAAGAACGATAGCATTACGCAAAAACCGTATGTAATCTTGCATTCAACCCGGGACACGTAATGTAATCCTTCATGGAAATAATAAAAGTTATCGACAACGGTAAAACGATGACGCTGGTACAGACTGTTCACGACCGAAATGCAGTAAAACGTAAAAATTCTCGTAAATTACCGTTAAATTATTTCCGATTATACATAACTAAATTCTAATCTAATTTTATCTCGTATAAATCTATCTCTATTGCATACTTTCCAAATTAAACGTAATTAGATCACCATAGAAAGCCATCGAGTCGATTGCTAATTAGCGTGGGTATGGAAGCCATCTCCAGCATCGACCAATTATCTGCACAGACAAAAATTATTATATAAAATTAATAGATATTTATATTTTATATTGATATATATATAGATTAATATGAAATCGAATTTGTATCGAAATGAAGCATTAATTAAATTCGAAAAACGCGATGAAATAAAGAGGAACAGGAAACGTTAAAAATATTACTTAATTACGTTATGATAATGTCCGATAAGTTACTAAATAATTCCGTATTAATCGAAAGAAGTTATAGATATACGAGATATATAAGAAGATTATAGTATATACCGTAAATGGTAAGAAAATAGGATGAGTCTACGCGAACAAAGGACCACGCAGCAGGCACAGAGCGACACGTGTTATCGCCACGACTTTCAAAACAGACTGAAATTTTGAACGTCGTAGAGGCTGAGGCTCGACAACCTACGAATTATTCCGGTCCGATGAACACAAGAAATTTCCAATGTTTTGGTTTCAGCTCGACGGAACGCGGTGTACGAGAGGAACCCGTGTGCGGAAGTTAAACGTTCCAGGAAATATTTTCGTAACGAACTCGGTATACGAGAATTTCGAAACGCGAGTCACCAACATGTGTCCGGAGAATTAGCCGTTTTGATATATAATAATTCGGAGTAATTTGGATGAATGAAATTCAATAACGTGCAGCGGAAGTAATTACGAGAAATGTCTTTCAGCATGAGATAAAATATTTCCGTTGGAAAATTTTAATTATACGTCATGAGACGTGAGTGATTGCAGTATATATTTGTTCGTTTAATTAATTTCATTAACGATTATTATTCGTGTGTATAATATAATTAACTATTACTATCCGTATGCTACTGCGAATTGCTAATATCGTTACTATGGACAACATTATCGTTGAATATCAACAAATGAAGTTTATTGATTAATTATTAATGCAACTATCAATAAATTGCTATTAATAAGAACTTGAATTATATTATTATTGTAATACGAAAGCAAAGAAGCAAATTATATATATATATATAAACGTAAAATTCTAAACAGTTTCTTGTTGAATAATTATTTTTAACGATATTCAAATATAAAAGCGTTATACAGAAACTTTTGAAAATTATAATAGTTTACCAATATTTCAAATTTAACGAGCATTACAAGTTACCCTCGCTCCTCTTTTTCCATCTTTTCTTTATTACTACAAGCTGAACAACCCCTAAAATGCATATTAATAAGCTTGCTCGTGCTCTGCACTCGCATGCGAGTACCTGTTCCATTAAAAACTCACATGGGTTGTTTGTTCAGGCCGCAGGTGATTCTCAGGCATTGCTGAGATGCCTGAGGGAGGTGCCGCTGAACGCGCTGGTTTCGGTGCCCGTAAAAGGGTTGGAATTCGCGCCCGCATTTGGACCCAGCATAGACGGAGTCGTGATTGATCCAGGCGATCCAGACGATCAGGACTTCACCCTGCAGGTGGACACGATCAATACGCTGAACAACATCTTGCTGCGGAAGGACGTCGTAGCAAAACTCTCGAGGTACTTCCGGTTCGGACCCCTTCATTTCCGTCCTCGTATTTTCCACCTATCCAGCTTCGTTCCGTCTCGTCAAGAACTCGCAAACATTCCGCCGTATTTCTCCAGCGAACGGTTGCAACGGTGAAATACGATAAACGAGAAAATTGGAACGATCGAAATCGAAAAATTAGAGAAATCTTGAGTCGCGAGTATCCTATGGTGGAAATAAAATCCAAGAAAAATGGTATTACCTAATTTCGTGGGAAACTTTGTACACGTTCCAAGGGTAGCTTTCACGACGATCTTTTCGATCGTAGGCCCACGGATTCGGTCCCAAAGTTCATACAGCAGATGCTTGTTTGGCAACTCGTTTTATCCGAAATTTCAACTCGTTCGGGGTAATCGTGAATGCGTGTCCAGGATGTAACAGTCGTGTCGTAAGTGAGATTGGAACAAAACAGGGGTCTCGTTACGCGGCTAAACGGAGCATGCTAACTAACCTGGGAAATCCCTAGGAAAAAGTGGCGACTCCCTCTTATTCGGCACGTGAACTGTGGCCAACAAGTACGACTCGTCTTTCTCGGCTCTCTTCTTCCCTTACCCTCTTTCCGCCACTGTTTCCCTCGTTCTTACTCGCACGTGCTTCGCGTTTCTCCTCTTCTTTTTCCATTGCGCTCGTTTTATCTCGCGACGTCTCGCTGTCTTGGCAAATCTCTGCCCCTTTTTATTTTCCCTCTTTCATCTCTACCTCCGTACCATCTACTTCTCGCGTTTGCTCGTCGCTCGCTCGTCCAGCCTGTGCCCTCTGCTTTCTTCAATTCCTCCGACAGGTATCCTAGCTCGATGCGCTTATAATTTCCCCCGCGGTCGCCTCTACGCGTCCCCCTCCTCGCGCCCTCCCCCGACGCCGCGTTACGTTTTCCGTTTCGTTAATTGCAGCCATTTTCATCTCCCTGGAAACTCGTTATTGGTCCGAATTGAAAAACGGCAGCACGCTCCGCGAGTTTCTTTTCACCGCGATAATTCGAATGCATTTTCCTCTCCTTCCAATCTTACCATCCGACTACCCACCCTTGTTTGCCCTGACCCCGCCATTCTCGGCGACCGCGCGGAAAACTCGGTTCCCCGGTTTCTTAATTTCCGCTCAAATCGTTCGTATTCGGTTTTTCAGCCACGATCACTCCCGTTCGTCGTCCGTTGTTTCCTCCTCGCCTGCCGCAGCACGCGTAAGTGCAGTATTTTTAATTACTCGAGTTTCCTCTTAGAAGTTTTCGTTGCCACGGCCGGGCGACGGGTTTTCCCTTTGTCGCGTAGTTTCACGGACGGCCGTCCATGGAAACGCTATTCCGCTGGCCGAAGTAATTTAACAATTGCATCGCGTTTAGCGAGCCAACGCGGCGAGCGAGGATACGAGTGTTTATGGAGCGGCGCACCGCGGCGGAAAAATGTTTTCGCTGGCCGGACGAAGCGGGAACAAAGGCTTCCGACAGCGGATAACGAAACGCGAAAAGCTAAACGCCGTGCGGGAGTTAATTTCGCGATCAGCCCGCGGGAACGGGAGGCAACGGTGGTCGATTAGTTGCCGCGAAGGAGGAATCGTTTGCTTGGAAAAATCGAAGGGGCCGTGGCTGACAAAGGAGCTCGAAGGAAGCGTCAAATTTGGCCGCATCGAGTGACATAACGACGTAACTCGGATGGCGGAGTAGCGTTTCTGGTTTCCATTTAAAATGCTCTCGGTTCGAGTTCCCTTGACGCTGCAATTTTTGCGAATATTCGTTGTAAGTACTCGCGTATCCGACGGCGTGCAAGTGCGAGAAATAAGGGGAAATTGAAAAGAGTAATCTAAAAGTATTTCACGATCATACAAATATCCAATCCGTCAAAGTAAAAAGTGTCTTTTACGGGTTTCCCTAAAATAGTATCGGGATAAAGAACGGCGTTAGAGACAGGGAAATCCCGGCATCATCGAATTTCCCTCATCAACCAGTCCACCGTATTTCGTCCTTTGTCGCGATCAGCCTTTGTTCCCCTTTGTCACCGCGTTTCTTTCCAACGTTCGTGCCTTTCGTTCTTTCACTCGTGTTCCATTCTCGTTGCACGAAGCGGCAGCCCTTCGCTGCAGCCCCTTCAGCCCTGCGTCCCGCGATAAATAAACGGTCTTGCGGGGGTTTTACGCCAGCAGACGCGTAACGACGACGTTAAAGGGAATGGGAATCGTTGGAACGAGCCACGTTTCTTTGCGTCGACGTTCCTGTGAATGCTGTTGAATATCCCGGGTTCACCGAGAGCACCGCGAATGCTTCGAGTTAATTTGTCTCGAATAGAGACTCTCTCGTTCCCTTTCTTTCTCCCTCTCCCTCTCTCCCGCCATCCCCATTTCCTTCTTTCATCGGCGAACATTGCCGAGGAATCGCGCGGAGATGGAAAAGCTGGCTCGCGTGTGTAATTATGTCGCGGGTTAATGAAGAGGAGGATCGAGTGTCGAGAAAAGTGCGCTCCACTTCTATACACACGTGTATACTTTGTTTCCACCGAAGCATTAAGTTTCAAACGAATCCTCCTCCGTGGTAGACCAAAGAATATACCCGTCTAGCTAACCGAGGTCGATGCTCGCGATTAGTTCAGCCAACGGTTCAACCCTTACCCCCTGTCACCCTTTCTTCCTTTCATCGGTGAAACGACACACTCTCGATTCGCGATATTTGTCGGTGAAGGTGAAAAAATTTCTGAAAACCAGCCGGTGAATGGTCTCGTAACGAGAGGAAATTCGCGTTGATCCGTGAAGAAATTTTTCACGATATTTCCGTGGAATCTTGCTCGGTAATTGCCCGGAAGAGGAATTTCCGAATCTGTGTACGGATATTAACGTATTTGCCACCGTGGAATATTTGCCACGTCGTTCGTGTTGGAAATGATACGTAAATATGAATAATCCCAACGTAATGAGGCAAAATTATTTACATCCTTATGATCTGTCAACAAAATCCCATTAAATCCGTATAATTAACACAGCCGCGATATACTGAACGAAGCTGTTTGCCTGCAGTTACCCGACGAGTGGCTGCTTTGAAACGGTTCTACGGTAATGTTCCGTTGACTTTCCAGGTACGATCTGATGATCGGAGTGGTCCGTTCAGAGGCGTACTTCGCTTTGACTGCGGACGACGCGCAATACGGGATCGAGGCTGACAGGAGAACAAAAATCCTGCGGGAGTTTGTGCGTAATACGTACACGTACCATCAGGCAGAGATCTTGGCGACGATAATCAACGAGTACACCGACTGGGAACGGCCTGTGCAACATCCGGCGAACATAAAGTGAGTGCAAAGATTAAACTACGCTCCGTCTCGCAGGCAATTTCTCGCAAAATTGCAATATTCCCATGGAACTCGACTCGCGTCATTCTCCATTCACAATGGACGAACGGCGCGGATATAAGAGAAATCCGTTGTATAATCTTGGCAGAGCTGTTCGAATTGTCGACTATCATTTCATTCCGCGGCCTTTGCGTGCTACCTACCTACGCCTTTGTTCCACGCTCGAACGAAGACGTCCTCTTTTTTTGTCTTCCAGAGACGAAACCTTGGAAGCTTTGGGGGATGCAAACACCGTGGCACCGGCTACGAGAACGGCGGACCTTCACAGTCAGTCTCATCGAAACTCCTACCTCTACGTGTTCGATTATCAGACAAAATTCGGAGATTATCCTCAGGTAGGTTCACGTGGTTTCGCCTTGCAAAGGTGGCGAGAAGGGTATGCGCTGGTTAAACAAAGTCTTTGGTAAAACGATAGCCACGATAGGGTGGCAAAATGGTGGCGTAATGCAATCAGGGAGGCAGTCATTAACCCACATCGCGCATATTTTATTACTAACGATGATACATTACGCTATTTCTTCGCATATTCGCCGTGCTTCCTCGTTCATTCAAATTTAAATCCCATTCTTCAGGCCGCGCATCCGTTTCCACCATGACGTTTCCTAGTTTAGCCGGTGTAAAGTGAAAGACGTTTTCCATTGTCGGGATGCGAAGCACGGAACCATGGAAAAATTGTGCCCGCGTGGCCAACGAGACCGTTGATCGATAAATATCGTTCCTTTAACGACTCGATCGAACTCCTTTGTTTCGCATAACTTCCTCTTCGTTAGGTCGAACCGGTTCTTTCCCGCCGCTGTCTCGCGCGAATTTGCATATGAAATATTTTACGGCGTTAAAGAAAAGGTATCGAGTTAGCTTTTTATTCGGGGAACATAGGAAACGACTTTAAAGAAATTTGCATGGTTCTGCATCGTATTTTGAAACGGTGAACGCGAGCTTTTCTTTTGTAATGGTGGTTTCGTGTTCCACCCGGAGAGTTCATTCATTATCATAAGCACAACCCCGGACGGACGTAATGTAAATGAGATAAAATTTATTTTTCCAGTTAAATTGGGCAATTTTTTCCTGATAAATTTTTCTCCGCTGACGGACGTCATAAAATCAAAATAAAGGAGACGAAATTGCGGTTTTTTATTCCAGACGGAAACAAACGAGAACGCTTAACGGTATTTCGCCTTTCCAAAAAAATTAACGCGCACGAAAAACGGATAAATAAAGAACGAAGTCGCGAAATTGTTTTAATGAAAATGGAAATGCAACGCGCGGCAAATTTCCGCGCAAAATTTCAACGCCAATATGTTCTTTCGGGCATAAAATTGTTGTTGCGATATTTTCGAAATACGCCAAACTTGCTTCCAACGCCGATTTCCTCGTATTTTCTGCGCTATGCAATTACTTGGGACAAATTTTTCTCGGCACGCGTGGAAACACGGTTAATCACGAAAGCTGAAATTCTTTCTGTCTCGGCGCGAGAAAAATTACTGGTAGTCCTCTGAAAACGAGGCGAAGGAAACGTCGAGGGATCGAGTCGACCAGAATTCGTGGCAGTCTTCTGAAAAGGTGGATGTACTCACGACACCGGTTTACGATACCACTAGGTACGTGTCCCTAACGAAACCGTGGTCCCAGATGAAATTTTTCGTGCAAAAGTTCATTAGTATCCCGCTTAATTTCCATTTAATTACCTCGTTTTGCGGACAAAACGCGCCAGACGTCGACACGGAGAATTTTCGACACACCCCGCGATTAATTTTTCCATTTTGGTTATACACACTTGAGGAACACGTAATATCCAGCAGAAGAATAACGTCAATGGATAAAGTTTTTCGACCATGTACGTCCCACTCTCTAATATAACGTTCTGGGAAAAAAGTAATAAGCGATGGTAACAGGTGGAGAAAAAACGATGGAAGGATTTCTGGAATGAAATCGTGTGAATGACATCGGTGGGTGCTTCGTGTAGAGAAACTCGTTTCATTTCGGAGGACGAAAATTAAAGCGAGTATGTTTGCAAATTGAAAAATCCTTGTTACGCGTTACATAAACAAAATACGCATTAAAAGATTAAAAGATCCCTTTTGAATCGTACATCTTCTATCCGTAACGTTATTACAAAATTATTAAATAGGGATATTACGTTCCACCCGTTTCGCATGTCCCGTAAAGACACGTACGATATATCTAAAAAAGAAAAGGCTGCCTTAATCCGTCGTCTACGTGGTCAAAGGAATAAAGTACCTGCTTCCCACGAAATTGTCTCCAGTTCGAAACCTCGTGGTCTGAAATTTATTTTCCTGCAAAAAAATTCGAATCCTTTCTGATAGAAGTGAAAATTCCTTAAACTCCGTTCCGTAGAAAAAAAAGGAAAATGGAAGGAAATTTCTCGAATTATTCTTCAACCACGGGTTTGGAAAATTAGGAAACTTGGTTTAAGGTAAATGCGTCGGATATTCGATCATCCCGGTAAACCCCGACGCCATTAGCTGTATCTGATTTCTGAAACTTGTATCCTTGGCCCCACCCTCCGGTCGGAGGGAAAAGGAGAGAGGAGGAACAGTTTGAAACTGCGAGAGAGAGAGAGAGAGATGCGAATTTCCCGAGTACGATTATATTATTACCGCATGCACGTGTACATCGCGCGGTGTATATCTTGGACGCGTCGCTTCGCGCAGGAAGCGGATACGCGCGAGGGGAAATTGTAAAATTACGGGAGTGCAGCGACGCGGGAGATCGGTTGTGTGTCACGTTAGAACTCCGTGCTTCCGGTCGGAGTTTCGGTTCGCCGCGGATATACTCGGTTATCATCAACGCCGCTCGATAACGTTACCGATAATTTCCCGAACAATTACAGAGATGCCAGGCCCGTGGTGGCGGGGGGTGGCGATCGTTATTTAAATGGAATTGAAAAAGGAAACGCGCGGTTCGATATGGCGACGTTAATTGCTGAGAAACCGTGCAACGCCCGGTAATGAAATTAATTTCGGAGCGGATTTCCAGAATTTCGAAGAACGCCGGCAAGCCGCTGGGGGAAATGACTTTCGGAAAACCGGTGGGAAAGCTTGGTAACGTTCGGAAAATTGCTTGGCGTATTATCGTGATGCACGCGTGTAGGCGATAGTTGGGAAAGTTGATAAATAAATGCAGATGCATGGGTTGGCGTATCTGGAATGGCGGCCGTGCGCAAGTAGAAGCGGCGCGTTCTGGTCAGACGGGGAGGGCCGGGTCCGCGCGGAGTGAGAAAAACAGCGATATAAAAGTGCGTGATATACGGTCGAAATAAGTGGAAATCGTTAAACGAAATTGGGAAGCATGCTCCGCGTATATAAGTGTAATACGGAAATATTTAACGTGGAATCGCCTACAGGAAATCGAAGTCCAATGGAAGTATGTAGTCGTTATTTATAACGATGATCGAAATGACAGTTCCCGTGCCCTCGTGGGTTTCGTTCTAGTAAATGCAAAAGGGGAAAAAGAGAATTACGACCGGGGAAAGATTAATATTCAACGAACCCGCCTCGAAACCCGTTTCGCCGATAGAATTCCAACAATTGGTAAAACGAAGCGCCCATCGATCGATCATCGCGATGTTGTACACCCCGGAGGAACGTTCCATTAGCAAACGTTCGATTAATTAAAATCAAGAAACTCGTAAGACCTCGCGGGGAATTGCGAATAGAAACCGTTTTAACGTCTCGCATTTATCTTCCCTATCTCGGCCATATTTCCCTATACGGACGAAGAACCGAGGTTTTTAAAAGGCTCAGGGACGACAGATTTCCTTCCTTCGCTGCGAAAAATTTCTCTTACTCGTGTGTCGAGTTTGCAAAGAGGGAGCTCTATGTACGAGTCGTCGTCAAAGCGAACCTGTGTAAAGACAGAGTGGCAGCGGAATTTAGATTAAACTTCCGTTTGCCAATTGCGCGTGTACACACAGAGATGGCTTAAAGGGGTGCAGTAATTGAGGGGAAACACGCTGAAAAATTCTAAAGCCTGCACGCGTGAAACACGCGTGTTCGAGCACAAACGATCACGCTCTGACCGGGAGTCGAGGAAGTCGGAAATGAAGAAGTCGAGGCCAGGAAAATAAAAGGAAAACCATCGATACGAAATATCGAAATTATCGCTATCATTACCGGAAGTACCACAATCTCTGTGCTCTCTAGAGAACCGTGCTGAAAAGCTATCCAAAAATATGGAAAAAACAGAGCGAGCTTCCGAGGTTTGTAAAAGCTTCGAGATTTTCCGACTCGCGAACGTTTGACTGTTAAATAGGGTCTTTGACGTTTTGCTGCCGTGAAAAGATTATTTTAAAAGATTAAAGAGTTTAAAAGAGGGAAGTGGAAAACAGGAAGCCCAGGGAGAGGAGGAAAGGGAAGAAAGTTGTCGACGTTCGAGTGGACGAATTTAAAAAGTTCTAAAGAATTTCTCGATCATTTTCGCTCGAAACGTTCCGCTATTGAGCAATCGCCGATGCTGGATTTCCTAAGAAACGTTTCTCCAGCGATTTTCCTCGAAGATCGAACGATCGAATGCTCGAAGCTTAAAAATAGCAGGAAATAAAAGAGTGAAATGGAAACGGTTGATTGTTATATTGAAATTGAACGCTTAAATTGATCGATAATTCGTTAATTGATTCCCGTAACGAATAATTAATAAGTCCGATGCTGGTACGACGAACAATTTGCATTTATAATTTGCGATTCACCGAGTTATCGTCCGAGTAATCGGCGAAAATTGCGAAAACGGGAGGCTGCGATTCCACTCTTCGTTCGACCATTGATTTCAGAATCGTCGGCCAAACATCGTTAAATATTTCACTCGCGAATATTAATAGCCGCAGGTTTCGCGGAACGTGCAATTCGTTTTTCGCTTTTCCGGTAGGAAGATGGACGGAAAATTAGACGGATTTTATTAACCCGACCAATCTGAAATTAACTTCCGGCGAGAAAACAAAATTTTTAGCTCGCGGAAATGCTGCTGGAAGTTGCTGAATTTAAAAGAAGCGGCGTCTTCGTCGGAGAATTCGGTTGGCTTACAAAGTGAAACTTTGGTCGGTGAAAATGTCTAAAAAGCGAGAAGGAAAAACGAAGGCTCGACCAACGAGGAAATCCGAGAACACGTGCACGTAACTCGGCATCGTGGACGCTAACGATAACGAGGACAATGAGCCTAATTATCGTAAGGACCGGTGGCGTAACCCGAGACATCGGGTCAATCAAGGAAACATTAACAAGCACCTGGAGACTGGTCGCCATTTTAATTGGATCGCGACACACGTCGACGCAAAGGTAATCCTTTTAGTCGCGTAAACGGAACCCGACACTTCGCCACAGTTCGAATTTCCATCGCCAATTACAACTTAAAATGACCACGAATATCCGATTAGACTTACACCGTCGTCGAAATTAAATCGGAGCAAAGCGAATTTTCAACTCGAGTCTCGTCATCCTGCACGGGGTGTTTTGTGCCCCATTAAAGTCCAGACCGTGACGATCTTTGCTATCGACGATTTCGGAGAACTCTGAGCATTTCGTCGTAAAGAGAAGTACCAGTGGACGCTAGCAAAACGGGTAATCGAAACATCGTAGAAAGCGAAAGCTTTATCAGACGACGGTGATTCTTGGGAAATTGCTTTCGCCCGGACGACCGTCGACCGCTAAGTGGAACAAACTTTTTAGCGCGAGATAAAAGAGCCGAAGAACGAGAAAAAGGGCAAAAAACGTGCGAAACTGTCGCGTTATGAGGAGGGGGACATCAAAGGCAGCCGGGAGCGTGTTTAAATTTAAATTTAGATCATCGATTGCACATCGTTCAGCCGGTCGTGCGATAGCCACGGAGAGGAGCACCCCAGCGCCCCCTGGGTATAATCCCATAAACCGTACCGAAAAAAATCTCCGACTTCCCGTCCAGCTACCACGCTTTGTCCCATAATGCACGTTTCTAAATTATAAAGCGAAATTCACCACGGGGATGTCGATGCATCGATTGTTTATCGCGGACCACGGGGATGAAAATAGGGGTAGTTCGGCGAGCGAGCGAAATCGCGAATCGAAGGACGAAGTCGATTGTTGGCAACGGGGAGGGTATTCGTATGCAAAACGGAAATGCGAAGAACGGGGTAAGAATGGAAGGGTTGGGAAGAAACGAAGAGCGCGTTTGAGGGGCTGCGGCAGAGAAAATTGACAAAAGAACTAATACCATCGGCGTGACTTATATCGAGTCTCGGGGAAATTCAAAAGAACCCCGCGTTCTTCTCGAAGCTCCTTTCGCGGAGGGAAGCAAATAAACCGTATGAAATATGTCCGTTATAAAAATTCCGGTTTCCCGACGCAGAAAACACGAGAAACTTGCCGGAAGCTGCAGAGTTCTCGAATAGACAATACAAACGATTCCTCTGGTTGGTTTTCGTGCCAGTTCGTGGAGCAGCGGTGTCCAGCGGTGGCTAGACCAGGCAGTCGGTCGTATCGATTACACCTGGTCGAGGAGAGGAAAGAAAGAAAGGAAGAAAGGAGCTGGACGAGTGGAGGAGGTTCTCGGTTCGTGGCTGTGCGAAAGGGTACGAGATTCGCAGAAGCGGAAGTGGAGAGCGCGGATGGAAGAAGGGGCAGCGGGTGAGGGAAGCTGAAGAACAAAATTCAATCCGGTAAAACTCGTTGAGGGAGATAAACAATGGAGATTCGTAATTAAAACGGACGAAAAAATACAGAGTGGCGGGCGATGATGAAAGCGGCAAGGCAAATAGAGGCGGCTGGTGTTTCGGGGCATAATTAAGCAGCAGCCGGCCCGTGAAAGCGCGCGAAGAAAGGGAATGTAAAATTATTTAATAACACGGGTCGAGTTTGCGAGGAAAAAGCACGGCGTCTAGGAAAAGAATAGAAGCCTGGTCGCGAAACTACCCGACAACGGCGGGCTTCTTGTGCTGAGAGAACGGAGAAGGTCGCGAGAAGAGATACGCGATTCGATCTGTCTTCGCGGATTTCCAGACCAGCGGAACCGTGCGCGTACCTGTTTGCCAAAAACTCTTCGCCGAGAAGATCCCGAGATCTTCTTACCTAGGGGGCAAAAGTTCATCCGGCAAGTTTCCCGGAAGCGAGGAGGAAGTTACGCAAAGTTAGCGGAGCAGCTGCTACGACGGAAGATTGCGTGATTGATATCCGTAATACGGTGACGATTCGATCTGGCCAGTCGCTGAAGGAAGAATCTTTCGTTGCATATTTACCCGCTGCGAAGCGTAATTGCGTATGGGATGAACCCGTGATTCCCGTGATCGCGTCTACGATCTCTAAACGCGTTCGACGATTCCTTTGTGCCTGGAACGAAGCGCGGAGGGTGGTTTCGTCGGAAAGTTGAAAATAAGCAGAAGCAACCGTTCCGCTGGAGTGCAACGAACTACGTGATTTTCAAAAGGCAACAAAGGCTTGCAGGGGAATCGATAAGGAAAATATTAGGAAGGAAACGGAGGCGCCACAAAAGATGCAGAAGGTCTCCATTACTCCGGCGAGCTCAAAGGGAACTTTCGAACCTGCAAGTTTCGATCTCGACCAGACGAATCGTCTTTATTCCTCCGCTTCCGAGCCTCTCGACCCAAAAATCCATCCGATCGAGGGAAAACCACTGCCGAGAATACACGAAACAACCGTCGCTCTGTTTGCCAATTGGATATTCGTCTTAATATCTTCGACCGCGTTAGGCACACTTCATCGACCGGAAATGACGCTGAAAATTCCACGATTTCTTACGGAAACCACGCATTTCGCGCGCACTACTACGCCGTTGCTCCTATTTTTAACATGTCGGTTAATTTCTCCCTCGCTGCCTCAGGGGGAGACGGTATTTATGCTGCAAACGACCCGTGCGAAATTAAGTCTCGGAGTATTTGTCACGCGAGCACGATACTTCCGCTTTATGACGATACTCTTGTTTCCACGTGTTATTTCGACAGGCTACTACCTCGTGCTCTCCTACCGAATGAAATTAAACGTCGCGTTACGCGTTTCCCGTCTCTTTGCGAATTCCTGGGAAATTGGTGAAAATAATTTTTCGGCAAATGTCTGCGAATTTGACGAGGCAATAGGGAGATGGAGAAAATCGTGGACAATTTTCCGACGAACGGTGAGCGAGTAAATAGAAGATCGCGAGCTTATCGATTCTCCGGGAAAACAGAGAGATGGAAAGTAGAAGACGTTTCTTTTCCCTGGGACGACCGAACGATCGGTCGCAGTGGGCAACGAAGAGTTTGCAAAGGACAGCAATTGCTTCCTCCACGGTCGAGTCGAGCGACCAAAGGGCCAGAGCAATCTCGAAACCGAGCTATTCGAGCACATATCATATCGCACTCGTTCCTCTCTCGATCCCTATACGCGGCTAAGGAAAAGCCTTTCTCTTCCAACGCGTTAAAATACCAACGATACCTCCAGACAAATTTGCTTTACGAACACCACTCGTTCCTTCTATGAATCCAGGAGGAAGAATAATCTTTGATCTTCCTCGGTCGAATTCTGCCGAATTTTACGAAGAAAATCTTCGTTTCGACATACTGGATTCTCTTTTAATTTCCAGAGGAGATTAATACGGTGCAAAATGTAATATAATACGATAGAATAATGGTAACACACGGTGTAACAGGATACCGTAGAAAAAGTAAGTTTCACGAGTATTTTATTCGCAGAGACCAGGCTGCATCCACGGCGAGGATCTGCCGTATTTTTTCGGGGCACCTCTGGTGGGCGGCCTGTCCCATTGGCCGAAGAATTACACGAGGGCCGAGGTCGCCCTGTCCGAGAGCGTGATACTCTATCTGACGAACTTTGCACGCACCGGGTGAGTCGTGAAATAGTAATTTCGCGGTGAGAACCCCGGCCGTTGCTAGTGTCCAAACGAGAAATTAACGACCGACCTGTGTATACGCCAACAGAAATCCGAACGAAGGAACACCGGACGTCGCGCTGCTCAGACCCGAGAGAACGAAGTTGAAGAACATCGATTGGAGCGCTTACGAAACGGTGCACAAGAAATACCTGAGCATAGGTGAGGCTGAAATTGAGTTTCCCCAAAATTTTCCCGTCGAGCGCCACTCGCGCGGGCACTCGAAATCGAGATGGAGGATCTTTCCCCGTTCAGGAACCCTTGCGAAAAGTTAGAAAAAGAGGCGTTCCATTTGCGCGATATCGCGATTTACAACGAGCGCGGTCGGTGTTGTCGATACGCGGCGATTCGAATTTTCCGGAACGTTTAATCGCCGAGGGCTCGAGTTGCCGCGGCTGGATGATTCGAAATTGTGAGGAAATCCGCGTTGCATGACTCGCTATCCCGGAAAGTGTTCGATTCCCACGGATTCTAATTCCCCCTCGTAATCCCAGCTCGCTAGAGTTTCCAATTAGCCTGGGTTTTCAGAATTCCGCGTCAGCTCGAACCTCGAGTCCCGGAGAAGACATTAACCCGTTCAGGGACGGAGTAAACGTTTCTCGTTAAGGAGGTTCGAGCCTCTCCGTGGAAAACTGCCGAATGAAACGAACGGAAAAAACGATTTCGAGTAGCTCGTTTTCTCCACTCGAGCAAATCCCAGCGATTCGTTTCGCGACCGTGGAACCGAGGAGCTATTATTTAATCCGATTAGTCTGTGAGGCGTGTATAATGAGCGTAGTCTTGCAGGTCTGCCACGCGTCTCGTACGTGTAACTAAGCGGATCAGCGAAAATTTATTTGCATAATTCTCGTTTTCCATCGTGCAAGTAGAATAAGAGTTTGACCGTATGAAACTGCTCCTCCGCTTGCCGTTTCTTCTCTTAGATGCCGCGTCGCGACGTTCGAACGCAACGCCGAGGGAAACTGCTTTCCTCGAGGAGTCTACCCTCTTTTAACAGATTCGAATCTTGGCCGTTTCCGCGCGTTCTTGGCCACCGTTTGTTTCCCCTTTACAACTGGTAAACGGACAGATGTAAAAGAATGGCGGGGACGGAGAGCAAATGGAACTCGGAGTAGGGCGTTGCTCGTTGCAGATACGTGTAACGCGTTCCGCGATATTCGCGATAGGGGAGAAACGAATAATGGAAAATACGGAGAGCTTGAGCGGGAATCGAGTCTCGCGGAAAGATTTTCCGTTCGGTGGAAATCAATTTCGTCGCATCATGGTTTCGCGAAAATGGCGAAACGCGAGATTCCGAGTGTCGCGTTAGTCTCTGACTGCGATCTCTCTTCAACGCGTCTCGCTGCAACGAGTGCAGCAAAAAGGGGCAGCCAGAGGAAGGGTATCGTCAAGCCGAGAGGAACACGGTGTTAGCGCAGCAAAGTTCGCTGGTAGTAGAGCGCAGTGTGGCTCAAACTATGCCACGGCGTAACTGCGAGTAGAAAAGTCGACGCACAGCCGGCCTAAGAGGCAACTGTCTGATTCTGCCGTTCTATGGCCGTCACTGAGTGAGTACTGGAACTTTGAGGCGCACTGACTAACGAAGCTGCCTTCTCTATGAGATTACCACGCGACAATAATTAATTACCCTGCTGTTAATATGAAAGGGCTCCGCTGGAAAGGCAGCCTTTCGAGGTTATCGTGCGAGTAGGTTGCAGTTGCTCGCTCGTTCCCTCTGAAAAGCGCCGTCTTCTTTCTTCGTCTCTGCCTACTAGTACCCTCCCCTCGCTTCCGCTGACCCGGCTGAGACTTCATCCGTGTTTCCAGACCTCAAGTCGAAGCTGAAGAACCACTACAGGGCGCACAGACTCTCGTTTTGGCTGAACCTCGTGCCCGACCTCCATAAGCCTGGTTCCGACGATGTTCCTAGATCGCATCATCTTCTTGATACTGAACAGGTACCTTCGTCCTTCTCTTCGCTGGCTTAACCTTCCCTCTCAACGAATTTCTCTTGCATTTCTTCTACCTTTCTTCTAAATTTCTTCCACTTTTCCAGCGAGATCTTCTCTTCTATTCTATTATCCCGCTAAAGCCCGCTCTGCATCCGTCTAAAGCACGTTCTATGCGGATTTAACGTTTATTGCAGGTGCCACCCAGGTTCATCCAGAGGATACCAACGACCACCAGGATGACCACGGCGGAAGTGACGCTCGCGGAAAGGACGCTGAACGTCTCGACAGCGATACCGAGCGAATTGGCTTTCGAGGATTCAACAGCCCAACCGGAAGACGGCTTCGCGGCTTACTCCACGGCCCTCAGCGTAACGATAGCGATCGGGTGTAGCCTGCTGATCCTGAACGTTCTAATTTTCGCGGGTGTTTACTATCAACGCGACAAGAGCAACCAGCACAACTGTTCGAAGAAGCGACAGGAAAACGGACAGATGCCTAACAATATTTGCGGAGATCTGGATACCAAGACTGCCGAGAGACACCATATTCAACACATCCCACCGCCCGAATTCGCGGATTTGCAGAACAACAGTTGCCACGTACCTATGCCACCGCCACCGCCGAAGAACACGAAACCTGGCAAGCCTGGACAGAACCTGATCATCAGTCCGAATCAGCTGCAGCAGGAAAGCATGGCGATGACCGGGACCGGGACACTGAAGAAGGGCCACAATCATCAACAGCAAGTGATGGACGAACTGAGGGTTTGACTCCACGAGCACTTGGCGAGTGCTGCTGAACTGTTGCGAATGGTTGATAGTCGCGTGAAGTTTCAGGGTAGTTTAAGTGGGGTGTGCTCTTTGGACTTCCCGATGCGCTGTTTGCTCGGATAAGGGATTCCGTTAAGGGGATAAAGTGGAAAGTGACTTTTAGCGTTTGAGGAAAATGTTCCGAAGCTTTGTCGCGAAGTTCTTGGCAGTTCTTGGGAAAGAAGATAGGCACATCGAATTCGTTGTATAATACCTCTACATGCGAGATCTGTCAAGCGACGTCGAAACGGTTCTAAATCATTTCTTTGTAATCGGTAGAAGCAACGGTGTTAATTCGCGGCAATGCGAGGAACGAGATCGGAATTATCGAAATCGACTATCTTCTCGAAGATTTCTCTCGAAATCCTTGAGAACGAACGTTCGATGATGCTTGTTGCTGACAAAACTGCTCCAAGCCTCTTCGACGAGATCGTTCGCGAATCTAAAGTCTCGCGAGTGTACGATAGAGAGGGACACTCGTGAAAGTGTCTGACCCGTTATCCTTTTCTACTTCCTCTGAGAAATAAAGAGAAGGGAGAAAATCATGCGACCAACTGCCGAAAAATCGTATAGTCTTCGATATATAATAACAATGTCTTAGTAGAATCTTTGATGCTCGGGGAAACGTTGGAATCGTTTCCCGATGATCGCTCAATCGATTTCTCGGAATTATCATTTCCCAAACGATCATTTCTTCCCGTCTTTCCCAACATTTTTACGCTCCAGAGAACACCTTCTTCTTTCTTATCGAGGAATTGAACGTTATCGACGAATTCTGTTAAATGCCAAGGCGAAAGATGCGCAATTAAAACCGCGAGGAGATGAAGCATTCTGTTTCTGACATTCACTTCGATATCAAAGAGAAAGAATCCGTGTACGAGCCAGTCGGGTTGATCCGTAGATCGGTTCCCTCGATCAGACACTTCCGCTCCGAGGGCTCGTACGTCCGATTCCTTCTTCGTAGAAGCGTTAGAACTTCGAATAAGATCCGCTTGCATCATCGACGGCACTTCCAGCGGTCCACGAAACTTCCATTCTTCTTTTGTTAGAGTAAATTAGTTGAAGTACCTTCGGCCGTCTCGCGAGAGGAAGAAACAGAAGAGCCTCGAATCGATTGCTCGATTATCCGCGCTCAGTCACTGCCACGGAAAGTGGGGGCTCGTGTGGCGAAATTCAAGGAGCTGGAAGTAGTGTCGATCGGCCTAGATGCTCAAATAAAACAAGATACCGTGTAAAGAAAAGAAAATGGGGGAAAAATAAAGATAAACAAACGAAGATACGAAAGAAAGAGGCCACCGATGACACGATGCAACTGAGATCTCGAGTCGAACGGCGCCATAAGATGGTTCTTTTTTTACTGACGTGAAAAATGGGGTTGAAGAAGCGAGATCAGCTTACGATAGATGATTTGTCGTTAACACTAAAGAACAGCATACTGCCAAACGGTCGGAAACGACACTTTTAGCTTTGGACGCGAGTCAATACGAAGCGTGGATGCTTCGACGGCGATCGATACGAAACGAGAAATCGTCGATCGTGTGTACAGTTGCGGTTCGATCAGGAAGAAATAAGGGGAACGCGTTGTTTTTAGTCCAATTTTTTTAGAGCGTCATTGCGTGGAACGTTCTAAAGAAGCATGGGCGAATTGTATGAACGGGGAATGGGTTTAGACTGTAAATAATGAATAATTTAACTTAGTGGTTCGTCGAGTCGTTTATGGCGAAAATTTTGTGGTGTTTGAAAACGACGAAGAAACGAGGAATCCGATTGTAACTGCACTTGTGTCGAGTAACGAGATGGTGTGTCAGCGTAGAAGCACTGGACGTAATTTTAAATTTGTATATAATTGACATTACAATAAACTGTGTAAACAATTACGATTAGCTGCAGCATCTTCAATGTTTTCCCACAACTAATTGCTACTACGATAATTACAAGATATCCTGTGCCACGAATCCCAAACAGCAATTAATCGTTTACGAAATGCATATTCGAAATTTGATTGCGTTCAATCACGTAGCGAATAATAAATCGAAAACACGTTGGCGAAAAAATTATCCAGGAAAGGGAATCCTTTAAATAATTAAATATTTATTTAAAATTATCAGGGAAAAATATGCGTTTTAGCCGATATCGCGTTGGTAGCTACATGCATAAAACGAAAATCCATATGACGAAGGCGAGGCACGTAACGTTTTAATAAATAATTAAAAACCATAGCGCGTGAGAGAGAGAGCGCGCGAGAATAATCGGGGATATTTGAATAAAAAGGAGAACCTTTTCAGCTATCGTGTAACCAAATAAATAAATGAAGTAGCGTTGATGCTGCGCGCTAATTATAGTCTGCAATATCGATATGAATACTCCATCAATTTCAGCAGATTCCAATCGATGACCTTTTCCCCGTTTCCGCCATTTCCCAGCGGCAAATCGCTGATAGCCAGGGACATGGGACGGTGGGTGGGAAGCACCGAGTAACCTCAAAAACATTTTAATCTCGGCCATTCGTGGAAATGAATGGAACAGAAATGATTCGTGAACACAAATCTTTATTCGTTCGTTCGTTTGAAGTTCCACTAATTGAATCGTGTATGTAAACCGGCGTACAATTCTGACAAGTTTGCAAAAATCTCGTAAGCTCGTTTCGAACCGTGACGAGAGTGTGTGTCTTTAAAAAGGACACGGTAGATATATACAAAAGGGTTGCCTCTGATATTCATGGTCGTAACGACAATTGAACACTGCGCTTGAATACACGAGGTTCATCGTGTTCGTGGCTCGTTAAATATAAATCACATAAACGAACATACTGATCGATCGCGAACAAATTGGTGAGTCTGTAAAGAGGATTGGCGAATTTTCCTTCTTCTCTAAAAATTTTACTCTCACTCCGTGGGACCATTCGCTCGGATTTCCGTGCCATTTGATCGCTTCTTCGCCTCGATTATTTTAAGGTTAATAAAGATCAAGCGTGCTTTCAGATACATTTATTAAATGCCATGATACGATAAAGACTCTTCAGTTTCGATACTATTAATCTCGATATTTTCGCTTCAGTTAATCCAATCCTTCGCTCTTGCCTTTTTACCCTATCTCCGTTCTCGTGAACCGCCATCGCGACGATAAAGCTTTATCGACGTAGATTCGGATAATTCGAGCATCCGTTTCAATCGAGAAACGACTTTTCGTTCCAATTAACACGGATCACGCGAATTTCGTTATATTCTCCGTCGACCGACCGTTTTTGTATCACCGTCAGTCACCTCGAGGCCCTCGTAATCCGAATTTTCATCCGAATTTTCATCCGTCCTCGAACCCAATCCCTAGCCAACTTTCCATTCCAGATGTTCGGATTAATCGAATTTCACCTGGTCGAATTAAAACGCTCTTTTTTTTCCTCCGAGCTTTCTTGTAACTTCGTTTTTAATTAGCGGCAATATTTGCCAGACTTACCCGATTATTCGCTCTCCACTCGACTCGCCAACACGTTCGCGTTGGTGGAAAAAGTTCTCCGGCGAAAGCGAAAAGTTGTTCGCGAGCTCCGGCTGATTATGCTCCGATTCTGATCGAAATTAGATTTTCAGGGAGAGAGAAACGGGGAACAAGTGCGCGGGGGAAGGGGGAAAGAGGAGGATAAAGGAAAAAAGAGGAATTAAACAATCGACGTTCGCCCTTCGCCTTTTTCGCGAAACTTTCCGGTTCGTTGCCCTTACCGAAGCGAAACTTCAACAACGGGTTCGATCCTATTTGCAAAGTTCCGATCGCCGGAGAACTCTTTCGCCGATCGAACCTCGAAACTTTGACGGAACTCGAATCGACCTTCGACACCGCCAACCCGATCCCTCTTCCGACGACCGAATGCGGGCTAGCAAACACTCTGCTCCAAGTATACCGTGGCTGCCAGCTACAAGTATCGCTCGTGGTATTCGTTTACACTAGCGGTTCGATCGTGTCGCGGTACCATCGTAATTGGATTAAACAGACTGTGCAGTCTCCGGCGAGATCCATCATGATCCACTGTGACGAATTACACTCGAATGCGTTATGGATACGGAACGTCTGTTTTCGAGGAACTGCGTCCTAATCGGACTGAGAAGATAACGCTAGTGTTCCCTGATAGGATCGTCTGATTGCGGCGTTGTTACCTATGATTAAATCACCATGCTACTCCAATCGAATTACAGTGTCTCGCTCGACGCGGGCATGTCACTGGATTATTGCTCCGAACCACGTAAACCGTACCGCTAGTGTCAGCTTTGCAACCTTTCTGCTTGACACGATGAAAGATGACGAAGAGCGAGAAGAGACAATCGAGCAGACAATTTCGTGGACACGATGTTCACCGTTTCCTAGCCAGCATTGCGCGTGGTATTACATAGCGCTGGATTATCGCAGCGAAATGTCGGCGGCATCGAAGGGGTACGCGAGTGCCACCCTTTGGTCGCACCCTACTCGGCCGGTGAAGAATAAACTACGCGTTTGTTTCGTAGCCAACCGGGTGTAACGAACACAACAGGTGTAACGAATTCGTAAGCGAAGCGTGCTACGGTGTTTATTCGCAGAAGGAGAAGCATCGTCTTCGATTCGATAGGTCCGACTGAACTGTATAAAAGAAACGCATCCTTCTTCAGCGCACTTCCCTCTCCGATCTCGGTTCGTTGTAGCTCGGACAAACGCGTGAATCGAGAAAACGACGATACGTGTCCCCTAATATTAAAATGCGATACACGATCGGTGTGTGTGTGTTTGTGTGTATATGTGTGTCTGTGTATTTGTTACGCTACAGCTACGTAGCTTCGAAGCTAAACGAGAAATCCGACGATCCACTACTCGTTATATGCGATACTTTTCGTTATTGCGCTACAGCTAAACGGGGAAACGATAAGAGATTGCGAATTTCTCCTCGGTAGTCCATACTCCTGTCGCCTCTTCCATCCAATCGCGATGGTTATTATACGTTATACGTGTATAGTCCTATAGATCATGCGTGTGATAAATGCACTTTAGATTTCCGGTCTAGTCGGGACGACTCTTCACGCTGTGTGTCACGATGCATCACGATGCAGGTACATCATACGCGAGTGTGTTGGCTCTCGATCGCCGATCGATTCGCTCGCGTCGATCCCGAAAGAATCAAGAATCTCTGGTGTTTATTTTCAATTATATTTCTGCAAGATCTCGTTTTATCACGTTAAACAAAAGCGTACATTAGTTTCTATTTTATATTAAATGTATCGGAGAAACTTAAAGCCTTGAGACGTTTAACCCTTCGAGCCTCGGACATTCATCTCGTTACGAATCAAAGATCAGGGCGTGGGGGGAAAGGCTCTACGAGTACACAGTATCAAATTATCGTACAGAAGTATAAAATCGAACGTACAAAAGGAGTATCACAACAAATTTCGTTACATCTCTCTACGACGAGGGTTATGCAAAGAATTCGCGATGGCGGTTATCAGAGTGAGGATTACTCAGAAGTATTCGACAGCCTCGAAGACTGGAAGGGTTAACTTTACAATTAATGAATATCGCACCCTACTGCTACGTTAAGTTTGACAATTTAATTGCAAAAAGACGATACAGCGAATACCTCTATTTAACTAAGAAACATCGGCTACAGTAACATTACCACAAAACGCGGCTGCCTTGCAAATTACATTCACAAGAATCCTCCGAAACGCTACAAATCATTGCTGCTACTAGGTTATCAAATCTCCTTTAACCCTTTCGCTACGAGGAGTAACCATTAGTCACCGAAATAAAGCAACGGAGTCTTGCGTATGCGAACAGTCGAATATATTTCTATTCGGGGCCCTACGTTTCGATCGGTGAAAGAAAGAATATTTTAAAAACCTGGCAAACCATTTTCGGCCTGATATCGCGAAGGAAAAATGTCAACGGATATATTACACCTTTTACGCAAACGTTTAACCGTACTTTCGCAAATTTCGCAAATAAGCTCCGCATAATCTCCAATTACCATGATCGACGAATCACTAGTCGAATCGATGCAACGAAGCGATACTTCGACGAAATTCCTAACGTAATTTTCTATATAACCGGAAACACTGTGGCGAAAGGGTGGAACCGCAACCGAAAGGATACAGATCTCACTGTGCCCCGGAAAACAAGCACCGTGGATCACTGAACGATCATCGATCGCGTCGTTCCGACTAGATCGGCGTATTTCTACGTTCGTTCGCTTCGCCAGCGTGGAGGAGACAATCGCTGCAGCCGCGTGGAGGTCGAGAGGACTTCCTCTAGCTACACCGGAAGTGCGCCTCGGACGAATGTAACGTGTCCTCTTCTTTCTTTTTTTCTTTTTTCTTTTTTTCCTTTTTCATTTTAGGCATGAGCATCGCGAGCTAGGCGATAGAGATTAAAACGAGTATAGCAAATTTATTCCCTCCGTACGGAAATGTCTAAGAATCTATCCTACGTCGAGCTACGACCGCGTTTTCGGTCGAGGAGTCTGCAGCCGAGTGTCTTCTCCCCGGAGCACGAGGCCGAATAAAAGAAAAATATACGCTCCGCGTGCACCAGGATGTCGAGTGGTACGAATCCGCGCTACAAACCGATATTTTTAGGCGCTTTTCACACTTTCTCTCTTTGCCTCGTTGAACAACGTGCACGACACGTGCTTCAACGGGTGTATTCCGCTTCGCTAGAAAATATCGAACGTAACAGGGTAACATTGGTCTCCTCGAAATGCGAACTTTCCCGGGATTCGTACCAGAGGACTCCAGGATATTCGCACACGACGATAAACGAAGGTGCGAATGAACGCTACACGACACGTTATTACACAAGGGGCTGCGCTAGAGAGACAGTTTAACGTTCAGAAGAAACAGTGCTAGTGCACGTAGAGCTCGCGTTAAGCACGGCGGATTAATGAATTACAACATATCACTTATCTTCTGTTCCATGTTTCGTTCTCTTTTTCATCATTTTCTCGGGATAGAAGCCTTATCATCGCATCAATGTACAACGACGACGCAACAGGGAAAACTGCGCTCGCTCGTGACTTTGGTCGCGCGACAAGCGGAGTTCTCTCGCTCTTGCGTTTTCCCCATGGATGCGTCTACCGTTTTATCTCTTTTCTCTTCTTTTCTCGACATTCTAATTAGCAGATGTAAAATTGGCCCGCTTCTCTCATGGCACTCTCAATTATCGCTGACGATACACGAATATCGCGCTCGAACCGATTTACCCCCGAACTTTCTAGCGAACTTACTAGCCTCAGGGGGCTGCCGCTACGCCATTTTCTCCAAAGCGCTCCACGTGATACCTGATACGATGTACACTGTTAATATCTCTTGGTTCGAGTATGCTTCGTTTCGTTTTGTTCGATTCTGATTAAACGGCGGCGTGCCTTATAAAGCGTTCAGTCTCCTCGATGAAACACGAGCAATATGTTTCGTCGCTCGACGCACACGTCTCTTTCATACTGGTTCCTGCCCTTTTATCCGTGTGTTTGCGTGTATGATTCGTCGGAAAGAAGACGCAACATTCTAATCCGATACCTTCGATTCGATACATCCTTATTCCGTTTATAGTTAAGCGTCCGCTGAAAGCAATCGACAAGTTTCGCTGTAGTTATCCGTTTGAAATATCACTCGCTGACCACCGATCATGTCACGTCCGTGACCTTGTAAAAGAGAATTTTGTAAATATCAAGCACCTGAGTATATATAACGAAGATTGCTCGGTTATACGAACAATCGTATAAAATGGCGAGTAAACGATTGAGCGCTTGATTTCTTTTCGCAAATTATTCCCTTCAACGTGCGTCTTCTTCCTCGATTTATGAACAGATCGCGTATCGAGTCGCTCGCTTATTTATCAAGAGATATTGAAAAACGTCTATAAAGATTGTTAATTATGATTACAATATTATAAACCTTGAACAATCCGCCGTCAAACAGACTCGCCAATAACATGTTCTACGTGTGAGTAATAATTTTCGCAACTGATCCAGAAACAGATCGCTCGATCGTTCGATTTTCTCGACTACCTGGTGAACTAATGAAACATTTTACTTTCAGTCGTTTTTGTATATGTCTAGAATATCTCGCGTGTCTAGAATACTTCTGTCTAAGCTTCCCGGTGTCTTGTGCGTGTTGAATAGATTTTCCAAAGTCGCGATCAAAGGAAACGATGATAGGATGAGCAAAGAAAGCTGTTCGGAAGAAATCGGTGGCAACTCGATCTCCGCTGGATTCTCGCGACACGAGCGAGTCCGAAAAGATTTGACGGAAAATTAAACATAGCAAACTCGTTGTGCTCTTTCTTCCTGAACGATTCACGACATCAAGAACCGTGATATGTACAATCTCACAGAAAAGCTATTTGCGTATTGCTTCGATCGCCTAACGACGGGCTCAATGATGTCCTAACGAGCATGGAAGAGCCACCCTATCATCGTGACGTACCCATTACATCCATGTCATTCGCTCGGTGGTATTATCTTTCTTTTTCCCTTCTTTTCCTTGAATGACTTCAATCTCCGGCCAGTCACACCGTACATGTATGAGAAGATCGCTAATTCTCGTCGAAGAGTGTTTGGCAGATATAACAACATAACAACGCGCACTATAACCGCACGAAGCTGTTCTCTTGGAGTAACATGAATCATAGCAAAACGATCGGTTAATCACGCTACGGTAAAACGACTTAAATGAGATTGATTGGGCAGAAGTAATCGGTAGTAAGAACGGTGTCAATGAAACGTTTTGTGCCTTCGTCGCGCGTTAACTTATGGGCCACGATGTAGACATCAGAAGAAGCCAGCATCTTGTTAATAGTACGTGATGATTTTTGGTTCGTATCAGAATGTCTCAAGGAGTTAGCATTATTAGCTGCACACTGATAAACCGCCTCCCTAGCACAAGCAGCCGACTTCCTCTTCCGACTCGGAGCCATTCTGCATCGGTGACTGATTCTGCAAATCGACAGCTGCTTTCGTGTGTTAAGGCGTTATCACAGTAACCATTCAATTGCCGCTAACATTTAGCTATTAATTAATTGAAAAAAAGATCAGCACGTCGATCAATTCTCGTATCGATCTTACACATTGGTATAAATTCTATGAGAACGTTAGGCCTTAAAAAATGGTATTAATGGTATCCCTGTGTCTAGGTAGCATATAGTGAGCTACGCTATATCGAATAATTTTTATAAAGAATTTCTCAGGTCTATGCCACTTACGAGTCTTAATATTAATCGAAAATTTAGTCCCATTTTGAGTCAGTAGGTATGTATTTCTCTTTTTCAAAGCTAGAATAGATTGTAATTAAAAAGCATATAAAATTTAAATAGTTTAAAAACGGGACGGAGCATTCCCTAACATTAATTACGGTGAAATTTTACAGCCACAAAGCACCTTAATTATAAATTATACAACAAGTGCTATGTTTCACATCTTCACAGTATAATACAAAGCATAATTACATATATTTATATATGTATATATAAATCATAATTAAAATATTACACAGTTAAAAGTAAGTCTTACAGTGATTGCGAAATAAGGAAATATGTATAACAAGGAAAAATGGCAAGAAAATATTATGGTTTGTAAAAAAAAAAACAAAAAAAATCAATATAAGGAAAATAATAATGCTATTGGATGTTCTTTTTTATATAAATTAAAATATTACAATAATTATTAACAAAAAGTCATAAGATTAGATATAATAGCATTCTGTCTATCCATATCCCAAATTTTAAGTTAATATATACAAATTGGATTTTGAAAGTATTTTTGAAAATTATTTGCTCTATCTAAATTCTTTTTTTTTTTTTCTTTTCTTTTCTTCTCTTTCAGTAAAAATTAATTATTTAGTGTACAAAATGTACAAATAATACTTTAATAGGAAATGCAATATATTAATTTATGCAGTGATCGATTTATCCGAATCAAGAAAAACCATTATACATGAGCAATAAGTTCTTAAAATATTCGAGAAAAATGAGATAACGTTAAGTACTAATTTGGAATCGTTGAAATTTCTAATCCTTTTATGTTCATTTACAGTACGCACGCAGGTACATATTGTACGAGTTTTCTGTCATACTATGTCGGTACGCGTTTAAATCAAATGCATTCGTGAATGTTTACGATTTTTATTGCTCGCGTTTGCACTCAGATCAAATCGATAACGAATTGTAGTTGACTATTATTTTGACTGCATTTACGCAATACGTAATTTCATAATTTCGCCATTAGTTTATCGCGTATTGCAACTTATATATACATGATGATAAATACACATATCTATATATATAAGTGCACCATATATCATGCAATTGCAGCACTGGTCATGCATACGACTAGTATTTCATTCAAATTGTCTTTTTTCCTTTTTTTTTTTTTCTTTATCAGAATGCAAAACATAACAAAATTTCATTACCTAAAATTGCAAATGTTCGTGACAAACAAAATATTTGTTACAAAAATTGTTTCTCGATTAAGAAAAGGTTCGAAGCACTATCTAAAATGACCATTATTTACTATCGAAACATTAAAAAAGCAAGCGACTTTGATGAAATACGCGAGTTTAAATAAATTGGATTACGTTGATGATTTACTAGTACACACAAACACGTTATTGTGTAAAAGCAGTCTGCTTAAGCTACCGTGAGATATTTAGTTTTTTTTCACGAAATAATGATTATAGCTCTTCAGTACAGTACTGTTCCTTTTCACATTATAAACTGTGAAAAGGACAAACTGAACATCACTGTCCTAGCATTGAAAGTTTAATTTATAAATTAACTTAGATCAGTGTCTTGTCTACCATTAGGCTGATCGGTGGTTTAACATGCACAACTGCTCTCCGATGCTTTCAGTTCAATTGGTGTGTCCTTCAGAACTACTTCTTGCACTACAGGTTTAGCAACACATTAAGGAAAACACAAAAAGATAACGGAAAAAAAAAATGAAATTGTTAGTAACGTTAAAATGATAATATTAAAATTAATAAATTCAAAATTATCCTTGGAAAATGAATAATAGTTATGCGAAAACTTTAAAATATATGAAATATATATTTAACTATCGTGGGAGTTCAAAAAAAAAAAAGACATTGCTGCAAAACACACCTGAAATTTAAATAATGAATGAAGTTTCTATAAATTATATTAAAAGATGACTATAATAGATTGAAGTCAAGCAACTTTGAAAACAAATATGAATAGAATAAAAATTGAGGAATTAGGACATGTTGCTTAGTACTGTACTTGAAGAAAGAAAAATCCCTGAAATATGATTTTGTATATGTACCATGCAAATGTGCACATTACGTATCTTAAATAAAGGATACTGTCTTCAGGTGGCTTATTTTCAGTGGAATCCATGCCTGGTAAAGCTGCTGCTACTCTTCTAAAAAGCTAAGCAATCAATAAAATATGATTAATACTTTACAATTGTATTAATAGCAACTTACTGCACAATAAAAACGTACCTGTTTCACATTATACCCAGCTTTAGCACTAGTTTCGATAAACATTACATTTAACTCTTTAGCTTTTCGTTCACCTTCTTCCATTGATACTTGTCTTTTATCACCCAAATCTGTTTTATTACCCACTAACATAATAATTACATCACTTCCTCTTTCAGTCCGTACATCATCAATCCATTTTGATGTTTGATGAAATGAGTTTGCATCTGTGTAAATAATTCACTTCAGCTAATGCCATAAAATGTCATATCTAACACTTTGCACCTACTTCAACTTAAACTTACTAGTTATATCATATACCACAACTGCGACAGTAGAATCCCTAATATAACTAGGTATCAAAGATCTAAACCGTTCTTGCCCTGCAGTATCCCATAGCTGCAATCTTACAGTTCTATCCTCCAGATACATGGTTTTGCTTAAAAAATCTATACCTATTGTAGCCTGCAATGAATAATACAATACCTTGCTGCTTCCTTTAAAGAACATTTTTATCTTATTCTAACATCTTCATTATCGTATAATTAGTGTGATATATTAAAATTTCATATTTCAACAACTTCACAAAATAGGAATAATCAAATTTAATGTCTCTGTCTATTCAACTCTATCTGTTCAAAAAAGTCAATATCTAGGTTTCCCTACTAATTCTTCTATCAACATTTACTTGCAAAAATTAGTGTTAACCATTTTATAGAATAAAAATATATTTCACATTACACTTATAACTAAAATGAAATGAAATGAGCAAAATGAAAAACAAATGTGAAAACTTATGACATTCCTATAAGGTCAATGGAAAGTATGTCAATGAAATATGGATGATCTCACAAATTCAAGTGTAGGTAGTACGATAAAATGGAAAATTAAGAACCTATTATATTCAAGTATTTATATAACATATTTTAGTTATCAACATTAATGCTTTTCCTTGTAATACATTATATTTCCTTTTATATATTAGTCATAATATACTTAATCATATAAATTATATATAAGTCTTATGACATATACATAGGTATATGTATATCACAAAATTAGTAATTTCATACCTGATACGTGTTGTCAAAGCTGTCATACATAAACCGTGTGATGAGAGAAGTCTTTCCAACTGCAACAAAAAAAATCACACGATTAATGCAAAAAACTTACTACATATTATGTGTACTTAAAAGGACAAAATCCAAATTAGCATATCTTTTCAGAATATGGTTTAAAAGCATACATGATAATGAATTATTACTATAATTATTTTGATTCATATTGTAGACTTAAAGAAATATAAATTTATAACAAAACTAGCATTCTTTCTCAGGCAGTAGAATTATGGGAATTTACTGCGATTATGTAGTATAATCGCGATATACCGATGTACTTTACGATCGTATAAAATGAAACAAATACATATATTATATAGCAATACGACATTAAATGCATAAATTATGAATTTTAATGGTCAGTAAATATTTTCATGAAAATGGTAGGATTCTACGACGAAGTACATATAAAATTATAAGCATTATTAGGACTAAATGCAATATTAGGATGGTGATAACAAGAACGACGCCAAATTCGATCGGAACGATAAAGTTGCACAGTGACCAGAAATATTGATCTATAACCTACAACGGTCATTGGAACTGATGAATACGATGGAAATTTTCGTGTTTGATAAGCGAGAAATCATAGGAAAGATAAAACCGACATGTACATCGCCAATATTGATCCAAAATCAACGGAAGTATAGGTAGAAAATACTTACCGCTCTGTTCACCGAGAAAGACAAGCTTAAATTTACGCAACGGGTTTCCAAAATCACCCGAAGACGACATTTTCTTCGTATATTAAAACTACTACGCAATGAATTATAGATATTAAACACACGAGAATAATTTAATTAATGCAACGAGTCATTAATTTTCACGAGAAATCATTTAACTTGACAGATCGCAAAGCCACTCCTTCCTTCTCTCGCAAGGCAGCCACGTTTAACTGGGAAGTGACGTCATTGGTTAGTTGCTAGTCTTGTTAGTTTCTAATAATATCCCTCTAGATGGCGCTAAAAAGTTTAAAGTAAGGTGAAAGCAATTTTTTTTCTGTTTACGAAGAAACATGTAAAAAAAATAATTGGATAAATTACAAAATAAATATGTGCCATAGAATACTGTTAAGAGATTACCATGTATCGGGTTTTCATAGTACAACGCATAATCATAAATTATAAAATGTTTTATTAATAACTGTATTAGATAAAATTTGTACAATCTGTATAGGTCTCAAGATAATTAAATGTTCTTTGTCGAACAGCCTGTAAATTTATGTTATCCAGTAATTGCAAGAGCATTCGTAATACATCTAGAAAAATACTTTATAACATTGCAATATTTGATTGAAACGTTTATGTACGTATTATATACGCTCGTGCACGCATACAATATATACAATATAGATATAGTCAATTCTTTAATTTTTTATTGTTGGTGAAGTCGATTATTATTTAAATTCCTGTAAGGATCTTCGACTACAATGGAATTGCAAAGTAGGTCATAAACAGTTCTATTAAACCTGAAGAAAAATAAGGCAAAACATATAGGAAATAAAAATGCCAAAATCATATTCTTCACAACTGATCTTCCAAGCGCTAGCGGTAAACCTAAATCTCTTCCTGGTAAAACAAGTACAACATCAGGATCATCAGGTCTATCAACAGGTGTAACACTACGGCATTGGACAACTATTAACCCCATCATGGATTTACCAGGTGTTGCACCACCAATACGGCCATTTATCCCATGTTGAAGCCAATATGTCTAAGAAAATATTTTCATTGAAGTACAGTGTACATTATTTTCAATAACCTATATATGCAATGATCTATTTACCTCAAAAATGCATACCGTTATGCGATGAATTATTTCTAACACTACCATACCGTATGCCAGTTGTAAAGCCATTTTATAATCAATTCTCACACTTGCCATTACCAAGTCTAGATTATCTATATCTCTAGAATAAAATAGAACAATGACAAATCATAAAAGTATGAAACTATTGGGAAAGAAGAATTAATCCTACATACCTGAAATCAAAAACATCAATACCAATAAAAGTAATAGAAAATTTCACAAGAAACAACATTATCGAATCTATAAATTCAGCTGCGAATCTCTTCCATATTGGAGGTATACGGTACTCAAAACCTTAAAGAATTATTTCCTTAAATTTCGATAAATAAGGCAACCATGATATTAAATGATACAGATGAAAATGTATGTTTCAAAAATACTACATTTATGGTACCATTATATGGTATTATTTAAGGATAAACAAATCAACTGAACATTTCAAATATAATCATATAAAATGCAGTACTTTTGTAATAAAAGCACATATAGTACTAGTTGAACCTCTGTTGCAATGTGATGGACACAGGAGATATCGTTATGACCTTCTACCTTCAGCTCCAGGAGGTTGAAATAGGGGTCCTACATGGTCTTGCGGCCTCCTCTGTCTGAGTGAATCGTTCTCCTGATCATTCGTGCCAACAATTAACCTGTGCGTATTTCCTACATTTGATACTTGTGATGGGAATAATGGTACACCTATAATTATTCCATTTTATAGAATAATTTTGCTCTAGCGAGAAAATATACTAATTTATATATTATATACCCTATGCAATGACAGCGAAACATGACGAGAATCTTACCAGACGATGAATTTATTATTTGCCCAGACATTAAATAATACGGAAATATTGCAGCCATGCTCTGCCAGGCATAAGCTTCATGCAACCATTTCTCTAATTTTTTAAAATATCTTGTTCGTTCCTCTGCAGCTGTCATTTGTAACTCATCTTTACTTTCTCCGGGTTTGTCCTCTTTTATATCGTCATTTATATTATCTGCCATATTGCTGTTTCGACAAAATTTATCGAATATAAATGTCGTAAACTTTTTCAAAACAATAATTCTATTTTAAAATTGTACGATATGAAAGTCGGTTCGTTTAAGACAAACAACGTTCGATAGTTGTCAACAGAAATAAATTATATTCTCACAAAAGTAATTATCAATTTTTGTTCAAAGAATAATGAGTTGGCGTTGATTACAAACTCAATCTATAATATTAATAACCAACAGACAAAATAATTATGTAAGTTTGTTTAATCCACCTAATTCTTGCCGTATTGTGTTGGAAAGCTGTTCTGATGGTATTCTGATGTAAAATTTTTCGTGTTTGCTCAAAGGTGACGTATATGACAACAAATATATAATTATTGATTTTTTAAAAATTCACCAGAAATATCATAAAGGTATTGTTGTAACAATACTGCATATTTTTTTAATGAATTCTTTTTACAGACTTTACCGACAAGGAATTATTAAAAAATTACTATTGGCTAATATATACCCCATCCAATCGAATTGATCAACATATAAAAATAATTAAAAATACGAGTCGTGGAGATATAGCTGTAAAATACCTCATCTACGAAAAACGAAATCTTGTTTCAAATACGAAAAATATATACAATAATGAACATTATTAAAGCATACTGTACATAAGAATGCAGCTTGAAAGGAACGACTTAGAATTTTCTAATTGAGCGAGCGATGTATTTGGACACAATTGACGTAAACGGAGAAACTTTGGTAAACGCTATAATTTTAATTCATGGACAAAAAGTACAGAAGTTTAAATATAAAAAGACAATATTGGTACCTTGATTACGATAAAGATGAATTAAAACGTAAAAGACAAAAAGTATGGAACATAAACAAAATATTACTGCTAACTGATACGACTGAGTGGAGGAAACTAAAAACCCTAGGACGTACCTGGAACTAGGTGGCAGCGTGCGACAGTTCGCATTGCGGCGCTAGCTTCTCAGGACATGACGTACTCGAAGCATTCGTGCAGTAATCACGGTCGGAGGACGTTTCCGACGACTCGCCTCTTTCTACATTTCGCGTTTTCGAAATAAATAACAGCGAAGCGGGTAGGTGTCGTGAAGCGGTGTGTCGTGTTAAAAAACTGTGTGCGATCGTAGGCGTTATGAGTGACAGTTGGTTAAGTCTTAAACAGGGTGTGGGCCACGACGCCAGGAGAAACATTTAGGTAAGATCGCATTAACTTCGACCGTATAATAATATTTTCGTTGGTTATATTATTCACCAGTTAGAGGATTGTAGGATCGCATATCTGATAGATAACGAACAATTTTGCGACGGATACGACATTCTTTACACGGAAATATCAGTTTCCAGTGATTCCTCGGTCACGCGTCAATTCGATGGAATGTCGCGCTAGAATTCCGACAATACAGGCGGTGGGTTGCGTTGAAAAATCGAATCTCCCTCTTTCGCCGACGCTGTAAACAATTGTTTAAACGCGGTACACGTTTCTCATGCTCGTGGATACGCGCATTTCATCGCCGATCGCGTATTATTCATAATCGATTGGTATCGTCGAATTAAACCAGCGCGTGAAGATCGAAAGTTCGATTTAGTAACAATTCCGTAGGCAGAGGTTAAGTTGGAATCGAAAATAACCTCTCAAGTGTATTAACACAAAACACGCGTAACATTCTAAAACGCGGAATGCGATGTAACCAATAACGAGTTTTGAAAACACAAATACACGAGCAAGTAAAATATAATTAAGAAAATCAATTGATCCACGTGCCGTCGAGATGTGTACGTACACTTTGGCAAAGGGTAAAAAGTGCCACTAAACGAGGCCGATGAACATGCAACTAGACAAACGCGTGACGTTGCGTCGTTTCAGGGCAGATCGACCGAATGAGATTTAGGTAGCCGGCGATGTTGCGGATCACTTAACTCCCTCTCGCGTGTTTGGATGAATGCAGTTTTCCATCGACTCGTATTTAGCACATACTCTATGACTATCTCGTGGGAATCCTCGTTGCGGCTATGCGACTATTATGGGAACGCGTAGTTCATGGATTTGTCCCAGATCGGACGAACGAAGGAAAGGTGTAGAGCGACAGGAAAAAAAGGTTGGTCGGTTTGGTAGGATGAGTACGAATAAAAGGTAAAGCTTTCCCCCAAATCACGCGTGAGGTGAATGGCCGCGGGCATACAGAGTCCCATTCACGCGTCGTAAGCACCTTTACGTTTTCGGAACCGGTTGCACTGAATTTATGGGAAAATGGCCGAGCACCGTGGGAGCCTGTACGTCTTGCGTGGCTTTTCTCAGCCTGCTATCGCTCGTTCCCTTAATTCGAGCCGGTCGAACGCGGACAACGTCGCGGCACACCGCGTCGCATACTAATTTCTCGGCGGTCCGATCGAATTAAATGCGCCTCTACACGCGAAACGTTTCCGGTTCCGCCGACGATTCGACAGTCCGCGGACGTCATTAAGAACCATCGTCGCTATCGGTTTCCATTTTATTCTTTCGCTTCTGCACGCCCGCATCTTAAAAGTAACTATGGAAGATCCGGATTCTACTATTTTCGTTCGAATTTCTCGAAAATATTCAGAATTATGTTTTTCTCGTCGTCTTGTCATTTTTTAATGGATTATCGATCGGCTGGATCGATAATTTTTCGCCGTTCGATAACGTTGCTTGTCGATAGCCAGTGTTTCCGTTGATTGAGTTCTCGGACACAGGGGAAGCTCGCGATAACGCAAATTGCCCCTACTCGATAGCGCAACGACGCTTGGTAGCGAGATTACAAGTCTCCTAATCCACTGCACGCGGAAATATAAATAGACGCGGTGGCTGGATCGAAAATCGTAAAGAGAAAGAGGGAATTTCCATGCAGAATTTTGTAATATCCGATAGGCGTAAAATAGCGCGAGATTACGACGCGCAGAAATATCTACTTTATCATCGATCGTTTAAAATCATATTATTATATCTCGTTATCTATGTCATAAAGCTGAACCAACTGAAGTTCCGAGATTACGTTACTGACAAAGTACTTACTCGGTTCTTCTCGCTGTCGCGTGTATTTCGTATTAATATCTTTCCCGACGATGAGTTTCAAATTTAATCACGCGAGTTTAATTCCCGAAGCGTTATTGGTCGCGGCGATATATACCCCGCCATATTGCCGGTGAAACTGCAGTTATTTGTGATCATCGATTATTAATAATCATCAGGGGGAACGGTGACAGTTTCCGTTCCGTTCGCGCAATCGAATCGCAAATTAATATTTCCATGGCTCCGCTCGATTTATATATAGACACTGTGATTCAACCATCCGATTTAACAAGATACGCGTTCGTAATTTATTCGCGTCGATTGCAAATCGCAAATTGCAAAAATGTCCACGAGAGGGAGGCACACGGGAGAGCCGTTGCCGTGGGAATCGTCGAGATCTCGATTCGGGAATAGTTGCGCGCCAATTCGAATTAAACGCGAAACCGATACAGAAAATCTGAATATATCCAACGAGGACGTCCGATCGTTTTCATAACACCCGGTGAATTTTGCTTCTTCGTTGCGCATTCCACGTTGCAACCGCATCTCGTGGAAGGCTCCTAGCCTGGTCGTTCCTCGTTCCGTGCAACAAAGGGAAGCAACGCCACGGACGGTCTTTTCTCTCGCCGGAATTCCAGGGATTCCGTTCTCGATTTTCAACCGGCGCATTCCCGCCGATTTCAACATCGAGCAGAGTCTCGGACTCGCCACTCGATTCCCGCTAAAGTATCGCGAATCGTTCGCGGTGATCGATGCACGATTGCTGTCGGGAACAATGGGTTTGCATCGGTGGACTTCCGCCGGGCCAGAGTGAAACGCATACACGCCCAACGATTTACAATGGCCAGAAATGGGTTTCGAGTCGAACGCTCTTGTGACGAGCTGCTGGCAGAAGTGACGAATAGCGGATTCTTTCCATCGCTTACACCGAATTTTAACGACCAGTTCGGATCGAACTTCTGCCCCCCGAAATTGCCCGTTCGCCAATTCAACCGAGCGATCGATGGTCCGGTTAATTAGCGAAAATGTGCTCGTGGTTTGTCCTAGACGAGTGGCCTCGTGTCGGGGATAGGTTAATTAGATCCCGTTCGTGGAAAACACCGAGCAACGAATAGACCTTACAGAGGGTATGTTGAACCTCGCTGCTTTTCTCTTCTTTGTTCTCCGTTTCGAAATCACCGAACCACGACCGCATCGTTCATTCTCCTAGGCACATGTCTCCTCTAAAACACGTAGGCAAGTAAGAGCTGTGCACTTGCTCAATGGAATGCTATGGGAAATGCGTTATGGAGCGAAGATTTCGTGCGTCGTGTTCGGAATCGGCGCGAAATATCGCTCTCCGTTTCGTTGGATAACTTGGAAAATGAAATTGTAGGAAAATAAGGAGGAAAATAGGGTATTCGGAGGATTGTGAAACGAAAGTGGAGCTTTTCCACCAATAACCGGTGTAATTTGGCTAACGGTACCGCGCTATGAACGAATTCCATTGAAATTCCAGACGCGTGAATCGCGGCATAGATGAGCTTCGTTCTTTCCATGAATAGCCTCGAATGAAATCTCATTTGGAAGCATGGAAACGCTAATTTTTACTCAGCTCCGCGGCAAATGTCATCTGGTGGCCGCTACAGAGAATCGATGGCTTCTGTATGCAATTGTTTTACCCGTTCAGATATTGCGCGAGAATGAATTTTTCGATAGCATGAAACGGATAATTAGCTCGCTGATGATACATTGTAGAACGAGCAACGACAAATGTTCTATTTGCAGCATGAATTTTATTTAATTGCGAAAGGGGAAAGCGTCGTTCTTTGTGCGTTTTCGCTTCATCATCGGATCGGAGGCGTATTTTCTTCCGGTTTACGATCAATTAAACGACCCGTGGAGAATTTGCATTTTAACGAGTACACTGGATGCTTCTCCGGTATCCTCTAATATTTGCTTTGTATGCTTGGACAGCGTTGCGAAATATTTGTAACCTTTTCGCGGCACGCGTGATGCAATGATATCATCGTTTTATAGCCAGTCGATTCTGTGTTTGTTGTGTGTACAAACGAACACATCGCGGTATGTGACGTATCGATGGATAATAAAATCGGCATAAATAATAGATACAAGATAGCTCGTTTTAAATGGATAGAAAATAAGGGATGCATGATTATTTTACGATCGAGGGGTGTTTTGTATAATCGTGATATCGATAAAAAGTTCCATCGGGAATATAGGATAACACAGAACAATACCTCGAGAAATTACGAGCTTAACGAAGCACGTTTTAAAATCGCACGTGCATTACGTAAACTATGACAAATAACGTCCACGACAACGTAACCGCGTGGATGGAAATTCCGTAGAAAATTTCAAAGTTCATAGTTCTCTGACGTCACGTCTCGATAAGCGAATTGTCGGTTGATAGTTTGAAAATAGACGAAACGTGGAATGTTAAAAGCAACTTGGAATTATCGGCGAGACGACGTCCATTTTCGCGAATTATCCTCGATGCGAAATCGTCGGGAAATTAATATTGGACGTGAGCGATCGAGACAGAGTCGTCGTTCGAAAAACGATCTTTATTCCGAACGACCGACATTCTCGAAATGCCTATCAATCAACATGAATCACACGCTCCGCGATGCAGATCGGCGGAATGTCAGCGGAATATCGGCGGAACAGAGTCTCGAAATCGACGCGCATCTCGAAGGATGCACGGCTCGACGATTACGCATACAATGGACTCCCGATCCTATTGTGCGATCGCGATTTCCTTAGTTCGTCATCGATCACCGATAAAGTCAAGGCCGGTCGATCGAGGATCGAGCAGCGAACACGCGAAAAAAAGGTGCATCCAAAGAGCGCTGAGATAATGAGAGGAACCGCGAGACGCTACGGTTAGATTGGAATTAATGGAAGAAAGGAGAACGAGAAGAGGGACTTTTGAAGTTATCGAGAAGGTTCAAGAACGTCTATCGAGTTAAAATTCTAGCGAAAAGGGGCTAATTACAGGAAGGGACAGACACACTCTAGGAAAGAGTTCCGCTTTACGGACTACTTCATCAGTTAACCCTTTTCGATCGATATCCGGATCAGCCTCAAGTACTACTTAATCGCGTACTCGATATTGCGATACCCCGTGGCGAAACAACCAGAGATAATTTCATTAACGACGGACG